CCCGCCACCCCGCCGGGCCAAATAGCGGGCCGGCTCGCCACAACCCGCCGGCCCGCATATATTTTTTTTAATTTAATTATTTTTATGTTTATTTTATTTTGATGTAGAAGATGAGGATGAAGATGATTAAGAAAAAAAGTAGAGATAACTTCTTTCAAGAGAGCTTCTAATATTCTTAAAATAAAAATTTAAAGTTAATTAATTGTATTTAAACTTGTGTGGACTATCAAAAAATTTAGTTTATAAATAATTTGTAAATTTATAATTTGGTTTTGATTTTGGTGTAAATGGATTAATTTCTATTTGATTTGATTTTAAGTTTGTAATTTGTTTTTGCTGAACATATATTAAGTACAATATGTATGCATTTTTAATTTCATATGATTATATTTATTTATTTGTAGCAATTCTTTTTTTATTTGACCATAAAATATTTTTTTTTCCATTTTTTTTTATTTTTTATTTTTGTAAGCGAGCTGGCCCGCCAGCCCGCCAACCCGCCCTTAGGCGGGATGGGCCAGCATCTCCAGCCCGTTTTACATTGGCGGACCGACTCGGCCCACCCCGTTTTTGGCGGGCCAATGGCGGGCAGGATTGGCCCGTTTTGCCATCCCTAGATAGAAACGAATTAATATTATATATAACTAGAAAGGGAGAAAGACAGTCCTTTTACGTGATAATTAAAACCATTAATGCATGTCAATGTCTAAACACCTCACATGAAGAACAGCAGGTAGGTATGGCGACACAAGTCCATGGATCATAAACTACACACGCAGCACTACCCAATTGAACGCCCAGTATACATAGTAACAACACAACATCACCCACAATCACGATCGCTCCATACTAGGTAATGAATTCTTCTCCCGCATTATGATACCATAAATCCCCAATTAAAACCATCAACAACAGTATTAATATCACACTCCACACTACACTGATCCCCGATTTCTCAAGGTTTCCTTATTAATCACCACTTCCACTATTCTACCTTCCACTGGGCCCCACGTGTCAACCCTCCAAGGGAACGCTATGAAGAACAACGGTTTCGACGGTGAGACCCGGCCCGAACCCGAATAACACGCCCCACTCTAACCCTTCCCCTGTGGTGCCCTTCTTTTCCTCTTTGGATCTCTTCCGCACCTCGTCCAGAATGAACAACACGCACGCGCTCGACATGTTTCCGTACTCGCTCAGCACGTGCCGCGTGGACCGGAGCTTCTCCGGTTTGAGCCGGAGCTTCTCCTCCACCTGGTCCAGAATCGCCGGTCCACCCGGGTGCGCGATCCAGAACAGCGAGTTCCAATCGTTTATCCCAATGGGGGCAAAAGCGTCCGCCAGACTCTTCTGGATGTGCTTCGATATGATTCCTGGAACGTCCTTCAGAAGGTGGAACGTCAGCCCCACCTCGCGGAGGTGCCCGTCGATGGCGCCGTCGGAGTCGGGGAGAATCGTCTGCGCCGCCGACACCAGCTCGAAGAGCGGGCGCTCCACGGCCAAGTCGGGGTCCGCGCCGACAATCACCGCGGCGGCGCCGTCGCCGAAGAGCGCCTGGCCGACGAGCGAGTCGAGGTGGGTCTCGGAGGGGCCGCGGAACGTGACGGCGGTGATCTCGGAGCAGACGACGAGAACCCTAGCGCCCTTGTTGTTCTCGGCGAGGTCCTTGGCGAGGCGGAGGACGGTGCCGCCGGCGAAGCAACCCTGTTGATACATCATAAGTCGCTTGACGGAGGGTCTCAGGCCGAGAAGCTTGGTGAGCTGATAATCAGCTCCGGGCATGTCGACGCCGGAAGTGGTGCAGAAGACGAGGTGCGTGATCTTTGACTTTGGTTGACCCCATTCCTTTATCGCCTTGGTCGCCGCTTCTTTCCCCAGCTTCGGAACCTCCACCACTACTATGTCCTGCCTGGCGTCCAGCGACGGTTCCATGTAGGCGCAAATGTTGGGATTCTCCTTCAGAAACTCCTCCGTCAGGTGCATGTATCGCTTCTTTATCATCGACTTTTCACCTGCATCCATTTCAGCACTATATATATTAAAGAAAGACCTACGTAAATGAATTAGTATCATGAATATTGTATGATGAGATTAGTAAGGAGTGAGGAAATAAATAGTTAATGTAGGGTTTGTGGTGTTATACGTACACATGCGTTTGAACTTTTCTTTGAGGTCGGTCATGTGTTGGCTGTTAGTGATGCGGAAGTAGTAGTCGGGGTAATCGGCTTGGGAGATGCAGTTGGAGGGAGTGGCGGTGCCCAAGGCCAAGATGGTGGCGGGGCCATGAGCGCGCTGGGCGCTGCGGATTTCCTCCACCGTCACCATTTACTAGCAGGGTTGGTGTTGGAAGGGTTTATGTTTGTGGTTTGAGGAATGGTGAGGTGAGGGGCTATAAATATAATAAAACAGTGACATTTTGTACAGTGGTGAGGCCTTGGATGGTACAAGGGAGGGAGCGAGTAGGTTTGAGGGACGGTCAGATGAGTGGACACGTGGATTCGGGGGTAGGCTTGTTAACCAGCGGTAGATTTGAAGCCACATAATGCTACTATTATTATTTAAATAAAAAAAAAGACGTTGCGCATTGAATGTGATTGTAAGTGCCTTTTCATGAAAAGGAAAATGGCGTTTGGTAATTGGTATAGCGGTGAGAAATACCAAGATATGAGAGCAGGTGTGTGTGATAAATGTAAATGATCGATGTAGGGCCGAAGAGTATCCAAACTTGATTCATCATAAAACTAGTTATAAAGGGACACTTCAAAAATGCAGAAATATCATGGATGTGATCATTTTTTTTTACTACTTTTCTTATAACATAATAATAATATATATTTGTAACATGATGGTCTCCCACGGATCGACCAAAGTAAGTCGGTAAAATGTTGATCCAACATGCTCTTTGCACCTTAGTGTTCGAGCATGGAGGGCTATGTACCGTGGTGGTCTCCCATGAGGTCCCCCCGACCTGTTTCTCGCCCCTCTTTCTTTTTCGGTTGACATTCAGGGGGAAATCTCCTCCTCTTGAGGCTCAGGAACCTCGAGCTCGGCAACGTTGTAGCGGTGCTTCAGCTTGCGCCACTTACTCTTGGCCATTATGCCTACAAGCACAAAAAATGAAGCACATCAGAAAAAGGAGTTTTCACAAACCCTAACACTCTAAAGAGGACGAGATACTCACTCTCCAGGCCCCTCTCCTTGTACGCCGAATTCGCAAGTGACAGGACGAGCTTGCAATCCAGCGGGCGAGGAAGCGCGGCAAGGTTTTCAACAGACAATTGAATTCAGAGGAGATAAATAAAGCAGGGAAAATTAAACTAGGCTTTTACAAAATTTGGCCTGCGCGGAGGCATTCTCACTAGAGCTATCCTCGAGGTCGTCCTCCTTTACCAGCTTCCCAAAGCGAACTACTTTCTCCACGTGCATGGCAGAGAAGTCGAACCCCGGGGCAAGAAGCCTTGCCTGGCGAGCTACCTTGAGGAAACCCCGCTTATATTCAACCACAATAGCCCGTTCGGTTTCCTCTAGCTTCTTCTCCAGCACCGCCCTCTCCGCCTCCTGCTTCCCCAGCTCCACTCTCAAAGCGGCAACCTTATCCTCTTTGCCGCTAAGGACGACCTCATCACAGAGGCGCTTCTCAGCCGCAACCACCAGATCACTCTTCAGGGAGGTCACCTCATCCTCCAAGGAGCGGACTCGACCACGGGAAGACGTCACCTCGTCTTCCAAGAAACGCACCCGACCTCGGGATGCGGTGGCAAGTCCCTGCAGCTCGTTCACCTGGGAGGCATAGTTCTCGTTGGAGCGCAGGGTGATCTCCAGCGACTTCTGAACCCTCGCAAGGTCCCCCCTCGCAGCTCGAAGCTCGGCACCCTGCAATTTCGCTTCACCAAGGGCAGCACTAAGAACCTTGTTCTCCTTCTTCAGGACTTTGTTTTCGTCCCTCAGGGGTTGAACTCGGCCCCTCAGTCGGACCAGATCCTCCTGCTGCTTGGACCACCTATGCTTCCAGTGGTCCACAATGGCCATAGCCCTCTGCAGAAGGACCTGAGCAGCATCAAAGCTCTCCACGGGCCTGACCCCTGCTGCACCAAAGACACCCGCTCCTGGCACCTCAGAGCTCGGGGTTGCCAGGACCTCGGCGGCCTTACTCGCCTACAAAAAAGAAAATAGTGGCAACTTAAATAAAACCTCAACCAGAACGCAACATAAAAAGGAAAAGAGAAGCCACAAGGCAAGACACATACCTCGGCGGTCGAGATGACCTGCTCAGCACCCTAGGACACCTCCTTGGCAGCTGGAGCAACCTGCTCGACAATCTGCGTCATCTCCACAGCAGCCATTTGGGGAGCCTCTCCAAGCGGAGGACTCCCAGTCAGGTCGACTGCGTCGACATCAGCAGCCTTGGAGGTCACCTCCTCCATGCAACGAGGGGCAGAGGTCCCCCCGACCTGTTTCTCGCCCCTCTTTCTTTTTCGGTTGACATTCAGGGGGAAATCTCCTCCTCTTGAGGCTCAGGAACCTCGAGCTCGGCAACGTTGTAGCGGTGCTTCAGCTTGCGCCACTTACTCTTGGCCATTATGCCTACAAGCACAAAACCGGAACTTCGCCGGGAACCGAGTCTAACTCCGCCGCCGAGGATTTCGTGGAGGTAACTCTCGATCTCCAAGACGACAACACCATCGTTCTCCGGAGCGTCGAGCCGGCCTCCGTCATTAACATCGACGACAGCGTCTCTGGCAGCGGATACGAAACTCCGGCGTCAGTCACGCGGTCGCCGACGATTCGGCGAAGCTCGTCGAGAGGATTTAGGCAGTTCTCGCAGGATCTGAAAGTGGAGGCGGTTGCGAAGGCGAGGCAATTCTCGCAGGAGCTGCCAAGGTTCTCATGGAGCCACGACAATGCTTCGCGCGCGCTTTCGTCTTCCTCTGCTCCTAACGCTGGCGCCGGATTCGAAACGGCGTTGGCGGCTCGCGCTCTCCGGAAGCAACGCGCTCAACTTGATCGCACGCGCTCCGGCGCGCATAAAGCGCTTCGCGGTCTGAAATTTATCAGCAGTAAATCAAACGACGTTGATGCGTGGAACGAGGTGCAGAGCAACTTCAGTAGGCTCGCCAAGGACGGTTTTCTCTATCGCGCTGATTTCGCTCAATGCATAGGTATGAAGGATTCGAAGGAATTTGCTCTGGAAATGTTTGATGCTCTAAGTCGTAAACGAAGGTTGAGAGTTGACAAAATCAGCAGGGATGAACTGTTCGAATTCTGGTCGCAAATTACCGATCAGAGTTTTGATTCGCGGCTTCAGATCTTCTTCGACATAGTTAGTTTCTCATGTATTTGTTCCACTCTTTATTTTACACCATGTTTTATGTATGTTTCATATTGGGCACACCCGATTAAATCCAAAAATGTGTGACACAAAACCTTGGTGTGAAGAGCACCTTAAGGTTAGAATTTAGAAGACCCGAACCATAGTGTGAAGAGCACTTTAAGGTCAGAATTTAGACGATCAAAACCTTGGTGCAAAGAGCACTTTAAGGTCGGCATTTTGACGATCCGAACCTTGGTGTGACGAGCACTTTAAGGTCGGAATTTAGACGATCAAGACCTTGGTGTGAAGAGCACTTTAAGGTCGCCATTTAGACGATCCAAACCTTGGTGTGAAGAGCACCTTAAGGTTAGAATTTAGAAGACCCACACCTTGGTGTGAAGAGCACCTTAAGGTTAGAATTTAGAAGACCCACACCTTGGTGTGAAGAGCACCTTAAGGTCAGAATTTAGAAGATCCAAACCTTGGTGTGAAGAGCACTTTAAGGTCAGAATTTTGACGATCCAAACCTTGGTGCAAAGAGCACTTTAAGGTCGGAATTTTGACAATCCAAACCTTGGTGCGAAGAGAACTTTAAGGTCAAAATTTAGAAGATCCAAACCTTGGTGTGAAGAGCACCTTAAGGTTAGAATTTAGAAGATCCAAACCTTGGTGCGAAGAGAACTTTAAGGTCGGAATTTAGACGATCAAGACCTTGGTGTGAAGAGCACTTTAAGGTTGGCATTTTGATGATCCAAACCTTGGTGCGAAGAGAACTTTAAGGTCGGAATTTAGACGATCAAGACCTTGGTGTGAAGAGCACTTTAAGGTCGGAATTTTGACGTTTTGACGATCCAAACCTTGGTGCAAAGAGCGCTTTAAGGTCGTCATTTTGACGATCCAAACCTTGGTGCGAAGAGCACTTTAAGGTCGGAATTTAGACGATCAAGACCTTGGTGTGAAGAGCACTTTAAATTCGGCATTTTGACGATCCAAACCTTGGTGTGAAGAGCACTTTAAGGTCGGAATTTAGACGATCCAAACCTTGGTGTGAAGAGCACCTTAAGGTTAGAATTTAGAAGACCCAAACCTTAGTGTGAAGAGCACTTTAATGTCGGAATTTAGACGATCAAGACCTTGGTGCAAAGAGCACTTTAAGGTCGGCATTTTGATGATCCAAACCTTGGTGCGAAGAGCACTTTAAGGTCGGAATTTAGACGATCAAGACCTTGGTGTGAAGAGCACTTTAAGGTCGGAATTTAGACGATCCAAACCTTGGTGTGAAGAGCACCTTAAGGTTAGAATTTAGAAGACCCAAACCTTAGTGTGAAGAGCACTTTAATGTCGGAATTTAGACGATCAAGACCTTGGTGCAAAGAGCACTTTAAGGTCGGCATTTTGATGATCCAAACCTTGGTGCGAAGAGCACTTTAAGGTTGGAATTTAGACGATCAAAACCTTGGTGTGAAGAGCACCTTAAGGTTAGAATTTAGAAGACCCAAAGCTTAGTGTGAAGAGCACTTTAAGGTCAGAATTTAGACGATCAACATAAATCAAGTCAAACGGTGCGCCCCAAGTTGCGACCCAAAGTAGGTCAACAAAATGCCTATCTGTCATGCTTTTCGCACCTTAGTGCTCGAGCATGGAGAGTTATGTACCACGATGGTCTCCCACAGATCGACCAAAGTAAGTCGGCAAAATGTTGATCCAACATGCTCTTTGCACCTTAGTGCTCGAGCATGGAGGGCTATGTACGTGGTGGTCTCCCATGAGCCGACCCGAAGTAGGTCGGCACAATATTTATCTGACATGCTCTTCGCACCTTAGTGCTCGAGCATGGAGAGCTATGTACCATGATGGTCTCCCACAGATCGACCAAAGTAAGTCGGCAAAATGTTGATCCAGCATGCTCTTTGCACCTTATTGCTCGAGCAGGGAGGGCTATGTACCGTGGTGGTCTCCCATGAGCCGACCCGAAGTAGGTCGGCAAAATATTGATCTGACATGCTCTTCGCACCTTAGTGCTCGAGCAAAGAGAGCTATGTACCATGATGGTCTCCCACAG